ATTTGGGAAAACTCCCACAAATTTACAAAAAAGTTTTTGTGCTTACTTTTGTGTTAAAGGTACGACGCTAGTTAGTTAGTTAGTTAGTTAGTTAGTTAGTTAGTTCCATGAAGTTCCTATTGCGCATAGAGATCGTCATTATTAGTTAATATTTTATCGTAAGAAAAACCTTCCTGATAGCAATACATTCATCAAAACCTTCCACCATTAGTAATCTGTGGTCAATGATAGATTGCAGCCTCTACTTCCTGTTCACAATAGGCATTTGTGAGGATGTACTGTATGACAAAACTAAGCTTTGCATTGCTCGGTTAAATAGCTTTAACTACACTGGAGACACTGCAGATTTGGATTTTTTTGTCAAACCTTTTAAAGTTTGCTTAAAATTTGCACTTCAGGTGGATGGAAACACTGCTAGTGACTTATATCCATTTTTTTTCTAGATCAGTCTGAACCACCCTTTTCTGATCTTTTCACCATCCAAACAAAAATCAGATTTTTGCCATTTTCAAATATGGTTCTATTTGATCTTATGTCGTTTTCATCCCAATACACATCCATAATGTTTTAGCTGCAGAATTAGTCACTAATTACTTCACAAACAGCCGTTGTTAATAACTGTGCTTTTTTTTCTTCTCTGGTGATCTCATATAAAGTTCTGCTAATTTCAATGAAGATTGCATAAAGTAATGCCAGAAATACATCTTGGGATTTATTTATTTTTTATTTATTAACTTTCACAATACTCTACAGCCAATAGAGAAAGATTGCAGCCCTAAAACCCCCCCACTCAAGGGCAAATGGTATGAACAACTGTTTCAGTAACTCATTTTGAGCTGTAATTACCACATTTAATAAGCATTAATAAAACAGTCAAATCTAACTACACATAATGATCTCACTGAAACCATGATGTACCACCCTTCTAGATAAAACTGCAAGCCACAGTTTTCCTCACCACTGCCATAAAACCAAGGCTGCATCGCGTAAAATTGATTACATCTGTAATGCACCTCACCATAGTGAGTTGGAGTAAAACACCCAAGCCTTTTATCAAACCACTCTCTAACTGCCCTCTGTCGGCCAGGGATCAATAACAGGAAAGATTTATCAAGGAAACTGGTTGGTGATTGGAGCATATATTCATGGATACTGTAGGGTGCCCACACAATGAGGTTGGATCATGATTAACTAAAATAGTCTATTATTATTTCACATTAATGAAAATTTTATTTTTAATGAAGTTATTTAGTGAATGATAAATAATGAACTAAAATCCCAGTATAAGCTCATCCTCTAGGATTAATTTAACATACAGTAGATTACACATAAAACATATATATATTCCAAACAAATTAATCAAAAAGACAGAGCTATATTAGACATCGCCAGTAGATATAGTTGAGTGTATTGTTTGTTACAGCCATTTTCCTCCTACATGTTCTTAGGGTTCATAGCAAAGCCTATATGACTCATCATAAAGATCATTTTACATAAGTAAGCATATCTCTGCAAAACATCAACTACCAGTTTTCCAGGGTCTGCTACATCCTTTTTTATTTCCTTACTGTTAATTCTTCTTATTGATTGCAAATATATTTCCTTTTAATTCATCCAAGGAAATAAAGAAAATACACTTTTCACAATGCTGTTCTCATGAACTGTGCTCACTGTTGCATTAATTATACTTACATATACCGGTATATTCCTTGTCTGACACTCAAACAAGGACCTTATGAAAGGGGGTAAAACAAGCAAAATGCCAAAGATTTGTTATTTTGTAGATGTTGCATTTGAAGTGGTGATCTCAGACATCAATGCATATACACTGTTAGTAAAGAAAATTTAGTTGGAGTAGCACAGTTTCTAGCTTAAAAATGTGCTCGGAATATTTATACAGTTATTTATCAGTGAGAAGTAGGACACCAGTGGAAATGTGTCTGACAGAAGAGGCCTGAAGACTTAAAAAAACAGAATCCCACAAGAGGTTTAAAAGTGGTGAGCTTAATCTACCCATATTTCATCAGAGTGAAGCATGCTGACTTGTGACAAATACTGTAACTTCAGACAGTATTGTGTTCAGGATATTGCACTATCCATAATGGAGCCGACTGGCGTTGTTTTTCTGAGTTTATGGTATGAACCAATGCAGTGATGGTGTTAGTCACATTTTCTTCAGATTATCAGTGTTTGGTTTATCCATGATTTTTTTACTGGCCCACATTTATAAATCTGTCTGAATGTTGTTTCAAACACACCGTTTTTCACAATGAAAAAAGTTCCATAAATCTGTCTACAGTTTATTTTCTCCCACAGCTCATGAAATAAGCGTAAAAAGTCACTTTAAGCTATGCTATAAGTGAGGTAGATTAAAACATAAGTTATAACTCGATAGAAAGCACATGCATTTAGATCTTGTCTTCCATATATTAGTGGTTCATTGAGTGAACTAAATGACTAGAATTGTTCTATTATATTTAGTTATTAAAAACATTTACATTTATTAAAAAAAAAATAATAATAAATTTGTTCAAAGATTCGTATACCAGATCTTTTGGTTCACACAACTACAGTATATCTTTGCTTTTACTCTTAAATTAGGCAATTTCAATTTTAAGACATTTATTTGCATTTTATGTTCCTTTACATTAAACCAGACATTAAAAATGACTTCAGTGACATTAGGTGTGCCAATCAAGGAACCTTAACAGCCTAATATGTTATTTTACAGTTAAAACAGATAAAACAGATCAGATTGACTTTTCTAGCTCTCAGATTACCTGATTTTGAAGTTCTTGCTGAATCAGTCTGTAATTCATGTAAGCCTCAACTAAGGCTTATACACCAAATTAATCACGACCAATGAATTCAGACACTTCCAATAACACCACAGCGGCAGTACTTTATGTGTCCAACATATTTTGTAATCTTCTGTCAGTCACATTGCAAAGAAATTATGACCTGATTTATGTAGCTGGTAAGTGAGTAAGTTATTGCCATCACAGCTCCAAAAAAGCTGATCACAGGAATAGCTAAATAAATTTAACTTTATTGATCTCACAATGGAGAAATTAACTCTCTGCATTTAACCCACCCCCTACTGAGAGCAGTGGGCTGTCACTGTGCAGCCCTCTGGGAGCAATCAGGGGTTAGGGTCTTGCTCAGAGACCCAGAGTGGCAGTCTGTTTGGGTTTTGAACTCATAACCTCAGGATTCCAAGCCCTAAGCCCTAACCACTAGGCATCCATCAATGCATCCACCTGTCAAGCAGTGGGCTGCCATTGTGCTTCTCCCAGGGAGCAGTGTAAGGGTTAAGACTGTTGCTCAAGGAGGCAGGGCATGGGAGTGTAGCCTGGGTGCCAGTCCGAACTTAGTCCCGCCCACAAGGTTTGAGGTCGGGGAAGTTCAGTCTGGCTCTGCTCCATAGTGGCGCGAGTATTATCGCCCACTGTCAGGCGATCCAATCAAATTGTCAGGGCGGGCTTTATACGATGATGGACAGATGATCAAGAGTAACGTAATCAACCACGTGACNTGGTTCGTTCGAAACACGCCCCATAATCACAGCTCTATGGAGCAGTATCAGACTCATATTCTGACTAGAATTGAGTCGGACTACGTCAGGCTAATGGGAGTGGGGCTTGAACTCAAAACCTGTGGGATGCAAGCACAATGCCCTAACCACTAGGTCACCACTCATCACTAAGGGAGAATTAATTTATTTCTGGTTCAGTACTACTTGGAAAATAGGAATTTTTCTTTGTCTCCAGTAGGTTGTCTTAAGGAACATTGAGTTATTCCAGGATTACTTTTGAGCTGTAGTTTACTTTAAGCTTAGCTAGTAGTAACTTCAGCCATTAACTCGGAGAGCTGCTGATGTATGAAGTACAGAACAAGGAAGTTACACAACACACAGACTTGTTCTAAATTTAAATAAGTGAAGAAGAAAATAAAAAATCTGAGTAGATTTGGTTCGTTCAAACAAATGTTTCACTTGATTGAGTGAATTATTACTCAACAAGACAGCAATACTCTAAGTCATGTTTTGCTGTTTGTGTGGAACTACATAGTCAAGGTGGGAAGGAGTATGGTTAAATATAAATTTAATATTGAACTAATGCAAACATAAAACAAATCAATGGTAACAAACTTAAATCAAAAACACTGGAATCAAACAGGAAGAAAAAAAAAAAAACATTTCAACAGAGAACCTGACAAGACACTGAAAAAAGTGTCCGGACACAGTGCTAAAGGTTCATATATCACAGACACCAAACCGACAAGAAGAAACAGAAAAAAAAATGGAGGATAATTTTAAAAACAATGAATGGAACCATAAGGAAAGTGCACAGGAAAAATGAACACAACAGAAGTGATAGGAGTAAACTAAGACCTCTTAGTTGGATGTATGAAACTCTGAATACATAAGAACTGAAAAGGTTAAACACATATACAACCACAAGAGTCCATAATACCAAGACACACTTTAACTTAGACATAGAGAAACCAAAGATGTTGCTACATCTGATGAGTTCTATCAAAAAAACTACAAGGTCATAAACAACACTGGTAGCAGCTGTAGGGGCCCGTAAATTTCAACTGGTTCATAAGCCAGCTGCAAAAAATAGATCAACAAGCAATTATAGTGCAGCCTCCCTTTTTTTTAGCAGGTTTGACAAGAAAAGCTTTGTTGTTTTTTGGGGAATTTTCTCAATTTTTTTTTTTTTTTTGTTGTTGTTATAAAATGCTTTAAAAAATGTTAAAGAGGGTTGTTAGTTATTTCATTATAACATTTCAAAATGGGTTTTTTCAGCTCTAAAGTATGATAGAGTGTATATGTTAAGGTAATATGTGGGAAATATATTTTTCTGTATACTTTAACAAGTACATTTTGATGGTGTATTAATTTTTCCGTTGTAACATGAAAATCGCACTAGGATTAAACTTGAAATCAAGATTTAAATACTATCACTCTGCTTTTCTGTTAATCCTTTCTCTAGGCCTCACCACTCTGCAGGTTGTTCTGGACACAGCAGCTGAAAAGAAGTGGCAGGTGACAGCCATCAATGTGGGAAACCTTAAAGATGAGAGGAAGGATGAGGCTTACCGCTCACTTTTCCAAGATCTGGAGAACAAGAAAGAGAGAAGGGTGATCCTGGACTGTGAACAAGACAAAGTGAAAGACATCATGGAGCAGGTGCTACATCTATGCGTTTTTACACTAATGTTTCTCAAAAGTAAACTATTTGTAGACAAGTTTGTATAGTAGTTCTGAACAGCATTTGGTAAAATTATTATGCAAGGGATTTTTATTTTATTAGTCAACTACTCAGTTTTTCTTTAATTTTTTATTTTTTTTTTCATTTATTTGATTAAAATATCCCAATAATGTGGCTATAGAAAAAATTAAAACAGGTGGGAAAAACCTTGAAAGCAAGGAGCAGAAGCTGCTCAATTACTGCAGAATTACCCAATTAAACCAAAAATGTATTGTTGATAAATCCATTCTATGGAACAATGTTCAACGAACTAGAACGTTCAGCTGATTTAAAATAAAGCCATTTGACTGCTTATATAGGCCGTACACAAAACTTTATTTAAAGGAAATAAAGGAAATTAAACAAGGCATTTTCATTTACGCTTTGACTCATTACAAAAGTTAATTAACATTTAATTCTTCAAAACATCTTTTTGGCCTAATTTTGGCTAAATGTGCTGCAGTCAGTCACCTCTCTACAGGGAAAAGAGAATCTGTTCATGTAGAAATGTTTTCCTTATTTTTGAGAGATATAATTTAGTTTTATCAAAATCTATGAGCTGAGATTGTACCTCTATTCATTCACTATTGCTCAAAAATCAGATAAGGTTTAGAAATAGGAATTCAACCTTTTCCACAAAGGGGTCATAGAATTGACAGACAGGCTCTCCAGCATTGCTTTCCCCTCAAACAGCACAGTTTCTAAGCTAATCTAATGAGTAACTGTAGCATTTGAAAACCTTGCAAACTTTGGACGTTTTAGGACATTAATACTCCCTTTCAGACAGAGAGACAGGTAGATAGGCTGACTATTTAATTATATAGAAACAATGGCTGTTTTCACAAGAGATATAAGTTGAAACAAAAAGGCCTTCAAGAACTCAATTTCCATTAATTTCAGTAATTTGGTTTCATCTTAACTCTACGATTTCCTTTCACAAAGCTACAGATCTAGCTTATGTTTAAATTGCTTTCTTTTATGCATGCAATACGGTACCGTGAACCACAGTAGTGGCTCCAACACTTCTGTGGCACCCAGAACAGTCTCACCTATTTTCTAAAAGACTCAGCTAAAAGTTCTTAGACCTTTTTTGGCCATTCATAGATTGCATAGAGCATTGTCCCTTTATGCCTGGATGAGAAGATGATTATTAGGTATGCAAAGGATAAAATAAAAATAAATAAAACAAAAAGGTAATGACAAAAGTAACTACATTATATCGATGCACTAGCTGAATGACTTATTTATGCCCTTCATTGCATTTACACACATATTATAACAAACACAAACATTTTTATGTGGAACTCATGTTCAAACATAATAGAACTTGAAGTTTCACAGAATGTGTCTCATATAATATTATTTCTTGCTTTATATCATATAAACAATTATTACAAATACTCCCAACTGTCGTACAAAATACCAAAAAACAGCAGGTTTCAGGAAAATGAATAATACACATACATACATACATAATAAAACATGAATAACACATATTTTATAGTTGTATTGTATATTTGCAATGAAAAAAAAGGTCATAGGTTGATAATGTAATAATGTGATTTACTTAGTTCTTCCATAAATATGCATTTTGTTTTGTCTCCTCAGGTCATCACAATTGGGCGACATGTTAAGGGCTATCACTATATCATTGCTAATTTGGTAAGTTTAAAAAGCTTTGAAAGGTTTGTATAAAATAATGCAATTTTTTTCTTACTTTTAAAGTTCTGTCAGAGATCAAATGGTTTCTTCTGCTTTCAGGGTTTTGTTGATGGAGACCTTTCCAAAATTCAGTATGGCGGAGCCAACGTTTCAGGCTTTCAGATTGTGGATTTTGATCATCCTTTGGTTTCAAAGTTTGACCAACGATGGGAGGCCCTGGAAGAAAAGGAATATCCAGGAGCAGACAGCAAAATAAGGGTGAGTGTAAGGACAAATGGACAAATATGTATATTTAATTATATCATTGCTTTAACAGAGATGTATTACAATCCATTTGCGGACAATAATTCTCTATTATCTTCTTATCTTTGAACCTTTGAAAATGACTAACCAATCAATAAATAATAAGAAAACCATTCGCATGTGCTTTCAAACAAATTAGGGATACAAATTCAAAACTGAAAAAAAAATTAATAAATAAAAACACCACAAATGCAAATGATTAAAATAAGAAAGGACAATTATAATGACTGTGTTCCAACACAGGCTTGCCACTATGATATGAAAGTTAAACATCTCTAAAACCATCATCTTGACCTAAAAGTAAACATTAGACTAATTTTGATATTAAAGCATTAAGGAAATGTTTATACACAGGAGGTGCTTCATGATATTTTAATGGGTTTAAGTGTTTCAATTTTCCTCAACCTTAAATAATGTTTGACAGTCGAATTATTTGCTACAGACTATCCTTTCTGGATAAGCAGCTTGATATGGTAATGCAAACATGCCAATAAGTTGTATTCTAGCAAGATTTAAATTGGAAGAAAACTAAACTGCACTGCTTCATAAGAAATGCTTCTGATTATGTTGTCAACATCACTCATAAAGGCATCTACAGTGGAAAAAATTAAATTTAAGTATTTTGCCATGATCTGAGGATTTGACATACACTATTAAAGTGCATATAACCTTTTCATACTTGTTTACATTTAATTATGTTATATGTGTGTATTATTAGCTGCAATCCATTAATTTGTGGTGTAGAGATACATTTCTGTTTATTTTCTTATGCTAGCCAGCAGGCTGCATGCTTGATAGCTCCATGGTGTTGTAGCACTAAAGGCCTGGGTTTCAATTTATGTCGGGTCTTCTGCATGGTTTGCGTGTTTCCTCATTGCATGCATGGGTTTTTTCTGGGGCCTTCAGTGTCTTTCCCAGGTTCAACCTTAGCCCATCAGCTAAAGTGTATACAGTAGGTCTTTGTAGGGGTTAAAATGTGTGCATTGTTTGCGTGTTTCTGTGTTGCCTTGTGATTGACTGGTGACCTGCCCTAGGTGTACTCCGCTTGCCCATTGACTGCTGGGGTATAGTTTAAACTTAGGATGCAGTTTACTGGCAATTTTCATAAATATGTTTAGTTTAATGTTCGACTTATACTTATAAACTAAAAGATCCCCATCTTATCTTCCCTCCTTTAGTATACATCAGCTCTGACCTACGATGCTGTGCAGGTGATGACGGAAGCCTTCAGATACCTACACAAGCAGCGCATTGACTTTACAAGGAGGGCTAACACAGGGGACTGTTTAGCTAATCCAGCTGTGCCTTGGGCTCAGGGAGTGGAAATTGAGCGAGCGCTGAAACAGGTAATACTCCTTCTCCAGGTTCTTTTTATAACATTAACAAAATTAGGATATGTATAGCAAATGGTAATTGATTGTTTTTGATGTATTATGACTAAGAACATATATTTTCAAAGTAAGTGTACTGGTAAAAATGTTTACTTATTTGCTCTCTCTATAATGTTTACTAATCCAATAACTCGGAATGTTGAATATTGAAGAATAGTAAATATTGAATAAGTATATGAAGTGTATGAAATAAAGTCCTGGTAATCTTTAGGTAATTTAATAGAAATAAATGGTGTGTTGTAAAGAGTTTTATAAAATATGTTAGGCACACACATATAGGCACCCACATGTTGTTTCAGATGGATTGACTGCTTTGTTAACTTGTTGCTGCTGATCATTGAAAAATACCAGCACATGTCAAACCTAACCTGCAGCACCTCCATTTATTAATTGTACCTCCATTTGAAAAAGTTATTGTTAGTCTAAAGTAATATACACCTGATTTCTTGAATGTAAAAATGGTACTTTTTTTTTATATAAACAAATTAAAAACAAGGAACAGAGATTAACCTTCCTAAGATTAGCCAACCTACCAAAAGCATTTTGAGAACACACTTACAACTTGTCCAGGAGGTCACAACCGAGGTAAGAACTACATTTAAAGCTCTGCAGCATCAACTTGCCTCAGTGAAAATGAATTTTTATGGTTTAAGAATAAGAAACCGACAGGACAAAAGATGGCTAAAGAAGATGAAGTGGTACAGTATGTCCTTAAAGAATCAGTCCTTGCTCCTATAACCTTTAATGTTGCTGAAGACAATAATTCTACAAAGAGATTGGGCAATCATTCCTTTACATTGATTTAAAAGGCTTACAAAGAGTTATTGCGAACACTTGATGCCGATTGTTGCTGTTAGGGGATATATAACCAGTTAAGGAGGTTTTTTTTATTTTTCTACAGAGCCCCAGTTTGTAGGAGGAATTATTTTCCTCAATAAATATAAATATCATTTGAAAATATTGTTTGTATATACTCGGATTACTTTTTTTCTGTTGATGATTTTAAAAAAATGTAATCTGAAAGGTGCAAATATTTTTCCGCTGCCTTTTATAAGCACTTAAATCATTCAGCTGATCATAAATACATCCCCTTTAGAGTGTCAGAGGAGATACACAGATACTTAGACCATCTGACAAGTGTGATAACATCCAGCAATGGCTGCTTCCCTCTAGCCTCTAAAGATGTCCACTTCACTTCACCGGTTTGAAACGTTGCATAGCCCACACTGACAAGAAAAATCAACTCTTCGGCAATTTTATTTTTCCTAAAGAGTTATTTCATGTTCAAATGGTAAGAATATGAAAAAGCTAGAATCAGAACTATAAAAGATGCATATTATTATTGATCTCATGCTCTGCAATGTCAAAATGCATTCACAACAAGCCTCAACAGTCTTACTGTGAGGACCAGTTGCCGTGGTAACAGGAGCTCTCTCTTAGAAAATGCCAAACACCCACAAAAATTTGAATTACCTTAATGATAAAAAACAGACTTTAGCTTTATATTCGAATGTTTTATTGTGGAATGTTTTTTTTTAAATAAAAATAATCTTGAAATATCTATAAGGAATCCTGTTTGATAGTTAAGGTTGGACAAAATTTACTTCATATTTCATAACATATTCTCTCGTTGGTAGCAATAAAAACATGCCACAACATTTTCTATGTTTAAATATACAAATATTAAAAAACTGATTAGATAAAATAAACCTAAATAATCTTAAAGGAATAGTACACCCAAAACATGATTAGCCTTCATTTTCTACTCACCCCCATGCTGAACAACACTCTGGAGTACTTTTTTGATATNCAGCTCGGCAAAGAACTCATGCTCTTCCTCAACACTGAAGTCCTCAGACATTTTTCTTTCGTTGTTTCTTTCTTTGCACAGATAAACAGCACATTTCTTCTTCTACGCTTGCATTATCGGCAGAGCAGACGCTGAATGCGCACTTTCGTCTGGTTTGGTCTGCCGCGGTTTCCTGATATCTAACAAAGTGGTCACTTTTAGCTTTGTCAGGTGTTGATCTTTTGCAGTGACACTGAAAGCAGCAGGATAAACATAGTATTTACAAATTATGATCATATGTCACTTTAAAATATCAAACTTTTTTTTTTCATTCTAAATAATCCTTCACGATAATGACACAGTGTCATGATGGGTCTCTGTGTTTAAACCCACATGCAGAACACCACAGGAAACGGGGTAAAAGTTAAACAGTTTATTTGAAAGAAGCACACAAGAGTATGAATGAGCAGATTCTGGTACAGGTCCGGGACTGGAATCACAGAGTAATCTGCAGAGATTAATAGTTTGGTTAGCCAGGCAGTGGTGATGACTTGTCAGGGGTTCGATTCTGGTTTGTACCTTGATGAGGTTCAGACTGATCGATGGAGAGAGGGAACCGGTTGGGTCCAGAGACTGTGGATTCAGCAGAGAGCTCAGCAGCAGCAGCGTCTAGCTTCAGACTAACGAGGTTCAGACCTTGAGTTGATTTGGGGCTGGGAATCAGACTGATAGTCTTCAGGTTTGGCTTCCTTGGGCAGGCAGGCAGGTTTCCAAGCACAAGCTCCTCCAGAGCTACAGACTTCAGTCGGGCTTTCCAAAACTGGTCAACACTCCGGCGCTGAAGACAGGTCTGGCTGCTGCTTATGTAGGAGGTCTCCTGATGGGCTGATGATCCTCAGGTGTGCTGGAGGCTCCAGCCCAGGAGACCCACAGCGCTCTCTGTTGGAGACAGGTGGCAGATCTCCAGATCCCAACAGTACCCCAGATCTCAACAGAAAAAACATAAAAACAGGAAGGGATCCTTGGCGCCCTCTGGAGGACAAGCCTCTGGATCCCAACACACAGGGCCTATTGATATTGCTGGGATATCTTCATAATATATGAAGCACATCTACAGTAGGGTGAACTAAAGTCCTGCAACGGGTCGGGTACCCGCGGGTCCCCGACGGGTCACCCGCTAGAATGCTCTTTTGCAGGTGAAAAATACATACATATAAAAATAAACGGGTCGGGGTCGGGCGGATATTTTGTTAGTGCGGGCAGGTAGTTGGTGATTTTTTTTTATGCTTGTGTGTTGCTCTGGACATCAGAAATGTTATATTAATCAGGCACTGGGGTCACCCTTGTTGTAGCTTAAAGCCCTGCTGGCAATGTGGGCTTCCCTCCAAAAAGGCCACAGTCAGTGCATACACGTCTGCTGCAGTGTTAATGGCGCTGTTCTGCAGCGCAGCGTACTATAGCCTATTACTTGATGTGTTAATGGGTCGGGTTGCGGGTTAAATATCAACGGGTCGGGTCGGGTTCGGATTTGAATTAAAGATATCCGCGGGTTACGGGTCGGGTTCGGTAGTCATCCTAACGGGTTCGGGCGGGTGCGGGTTGGTAAAACTCGACCCGTGCAGGACTCTAGGGTGAACCTAAACTTAGCTACTGAAAAACATTATTGGCTCTGAATGGTGTCTTCAAAATAAGTTTTAATCAGTTTTAAGACTTGAAATAGGGACATCCTGTTGTTTCTGTGTCTGCGACACTCTAAAGAACTAATATCAGGGGACAAACTGACATAAAATAAGGTGACCAGATTTCTGAAATCAAATCTGGGGACATTTTCAGCTAAGATAAAAAGAAAGACAATAATCAGAATTAAAATAGGAAATGGGGACAGTGATGCTTCTATCCATTTTTATATATTTATTAATATTTGAACAACAAATACCGAGTGTAAAATCCAGGAATGCTCCTCTCCTATTTCCAAACATTGATCAAATTAATCAATCGATAGTGTTTATTAGTACCATCTGGTCAGTTATTCTTCCCTGTTTTCTTCCCTCTCTCTTCTCTAGTTGTAGCTGACTTCTATTTTCTCTTTCACTCTTCTAAGTAGAGTTTTCCTCTTCTCTCATTCAATCTTCTTTCTATCAGTCTTCTTATCTTCTTCCTCTTCTATAAATGTTACACTAAACTAAAACAGACATAATAAAATCAAATCCCCATAAGGAGAGATAGGTAAGAAAAAAATTTGAGTGTAATTCTTATATATTCCCAAAAACTAAGACTGTTTATTTAAATTATTGGTATTTCACTTACTATGAAGCAAATTTCTCTTCTCGGTCAAATATTTATTTTATACTAAGAGGCTTTAAAGTTTCATTAAATCCAGTCACAACTTCCAAGTGCGCATCTCACAACTTCAAAACAAACCTCTTATCTCCGGCATGGATGAAGAGATGCTGAGTTTGCAAAAAAACAATTTTGTATGATCCTAATTATCCCTATTACAAAGAAACGTGTGGCCACAAAGGTGTGATGGATGCTGATGTTGAGTTTTAATCATGTCATTAAATTAAGCGTTAATTGTTGCATGTTTTGTTACTATAAGATTAATAGTAATAATAATAAAGTTGAGCATGACACCTTGAGGAACCCCGGGAGGAACCTCGGAGGCTGTAGGCTTTGCTTTGCATAGGTGGTTTGGAGTGGGGCAGTTGCGGAGGATGTGGAATTTCGGCATAGTGCTGCGCTCTGCTCCTCCTCCATACGTTCACAGCTGCCAAATAGCTAGCTAACAGCTCTTTCTGCATGCATTGTGCTTAAGCACTCGTTCTACCGTAATAACAGTCTACATGCAACATTTGCCCCTCTTTCTCAAAACTGTAAAATCGTAGACGTCTGGTCACCGTAACATACAGTAACTTTAAGAGAGCAATATTCTTACCAATTTAATGAGGTCCAAAGATGTCAATATATAAGTTATACTGACGGGGCACTTAAACATCAAAAGCTGTAAAAATCCAAGTAAAGGCTCTTTTTTCTTATTTCTTCATTTTTATTTCTTCATTTCAGCAATGTGTCCACAAGGAGATATGAGTTGTGTTTTTCAACAACATTCCTTCCACTATTGTCAAGAGACTATGTCCCATGTTGTCTTCTATCAACTGTTCCTTAATTATGTGGAAAGAAGTGCTTTGAAAAGAGAAACTCTGTTTTTTTGGAATAGAAATGGAAATTTGGACAATTCTTCAAATATATGTTAATCTCTTCCTTTTCTCCATGCTGTATCTCAAGAGAAAGTCTCTTTACCTTTTTGTGTTGCTGATACATAGCTGCTTATCAATTCAGCATATTTACTTAAGAAAAGTACTTTTACAACATGCAAATATGCTCAGCTGTTACATACTTTTTTATTTATGGTGCTGATGTTTCTGTTGTATAAAACCCTGTTGTCAGGAACCAAGCATTCAGTGAAAGAACAAAGGTGTAGAAAAACATCGATTTATTTTCGCCACAGTACTAACGAAAAAAATCCAAATGGGGCCACAAAAGAAGATATCAACTTATACAAACCAGAGTTGACCTCTCACAATGAACACAGGGGTATTTAACCACATAGGCTGGCCTACAAACAACAAGAAGGGGAGGGAGAAAACTAAAGACAAACAAAAAATAAACCTAGACATCGAAGTCAAATCTAGAAAGCATAACTACAACACAAAGCAGCAACATCTCAAAAAATGAAACGTGCAATTAAACATCTGCCGCGTGAAAGAAACATTAAAATACAAACACTAAAATAGTTGGAGGACCCTGACAAATGTCATTGTCTGAGAATATCATACAGTGAATCAAAATTTAAAAACATTTGCCACAAACTTTTTTTCTTTGATTTCTTTGTTGCTTTTAACACCATTTTGAAATTTTGAATCAGCTAAATGTTAGATACATTTACGTTGGTTCATAAAACTCAACTTAAGGCCTTTGGAATCCTTCTGGAGATGTATCTACTTTTTTTAGGCCTGGAAGAAAGAAATATTGAAGTTAAGACCACAATGTAAAACTTAGTTAGAGACAATGAGTTTGATCAAAGATGTACTTTGTGTTTCTTCAGGTCCGTGTGGAAGGCCTGTCTGGAAATATTCAGTTTGATCAACATGGCAAGAGAGTCAATTACTCTGTGAATATAATGGAACTAAAGAGTAATGGTCCAGTTAAGGTAAGCCGATATAAAGTAAATAATCTTCACAAAAAAGAGCTTTCTCTGCCTACTTGTGTTGTGCTTTGATATGTTTTAACTGCATACTTATAGAACAAAGCAGAAAATATGCTTTGTGAAAATTATTGAAGGAAACTAAGCCATGAAAAATATTTCTTGATTGTTTCTTACTTAATGTATTACATCCATTATTTAAAATTTAATTAAAATAAAGGTAGCTTGATTAAAATAAAATTCTATCTGTTTAAAGTTAAGTATTCAGCCTTTCCCAGTAGTACTCAGAAGAGAATACCAAGGCTTGGTACTGATAGATATTAGCCCTGTTCTTCTTCTACCTTTTGTATGGTCAATACTAAGGATGCTACAGTATTATGAGTAAAAGGAAGTAAGAAATGCTCTGCAAGCCTTCAGCCCTTTGGAAATCATGATGCAATGGAAACATATAAGAATGATGCTTGTCAAATTGAAGCAACAGCTTTATGGAAAAGAAACTACCAAAAAACGCAAGTTACTCAAATGTATTGAGAAGCTGAAGCTCTCCCTTATAAAAGCTAAAACACATAAGGTGCATACATTTGTATGTGTCACACAGAGTACACGTGAATAAATACTGTGTTTGTTCATCTCTTTGATGTGGCTGTGTCATTACCTCCTGTCACACAGGTATTGTGGCATGTAGTGCCTAAGTACCACATATAAACATCAGGAGGTCCCTATGCTAAAGGAACTACAACAGGAAGAAGACAGGCTCCTTTTCCTTTCTTCTTATTTCCTGCCATCACTATTCAGACCTCACTTACCATGGTGACCACTGTCATACATCAGTTTTAGCTTAAGAGCCCTTACCAATTTGTTGTATTTGGATTGGGCCCATATCCATTCTGTTCTTGATTTTAGTGGGAACAGCAGTGGTATAGGATGTGGGAATTCATCCTCCAATCAACCTCTGTCTTTCACAGTGTTTTTCTCCTTGGGCAAGACACTTCTCCCTGTATTGCCTACTGATGGTGTTCTGAGGGCCCTTGTATGACACCTGAGTGTGACAATCTCCTGTGAATGACTATATATATTTATATCTAGCACCTTGAAAGGTGCTACATAACTCCACTTATATATAATCTTTGTGCTATATACAGCTAGATATGACTATATTCATTAGTGCAATTATTTGGCACTTACACTTATCTATGTAGTCTATGAGTTCTGGTCATCTACCATTGTTTCCAGAACTTAGTCACACAGAGAATTTAACCAAGGTGGCTGTCAGTCTCTTGGCAGCCATCTATATTCAATGTTCTACACACTTACTGGCTCAATCCAAATACCTCAAACCAGGACACTTAAAGGAATAGTACACCCAAAACATGATTAGCCTTCATTTTCTACTCACCCCCATGCTGAACAACACTCTGGAGTACTTTTTTG